TGTGTGTGTGTGTGTGTGTGGTTGCAGGTAGCAGAGTAAATGAAAAGGTCCCAAGTGAACTGATGAATTGGAAGGGCGTTTTGGATGGAGATTGGCTGCTAGATAGGGGGATGCTGTCACTTGCTCTGCCTCTGCTCACCACTTACTGCCTCTCCACTGTTTCCCTTAAAAATAAATATTCCACCACTTGATAATTGGCACCCAATTAGCCCCAATTAATACTACTTGATTGATTATTTAAATTGGTGGTCAATGATGAGCACATCAGCATATCAAGGGCCTGATCACACCACTACTGCACTTGTTGCTGTGATTGTTGCTCATGTGTCATTTAACAGTAACTAAAAGCAGTTTTCTTTTATTTTGAAAGAGAATTAAAATGCCTTTTGCTCTTCAAGTGGCAGCAATAGAGAATTCAGCTATTATATCCATTCAATAATTTCCCTCCGTAAAGATACGGACGACTCTTATTTCTGACCTTGTTATGTCACATGAGAAAGTGTTTAAATATTTAATATGTAATGTTAAAATGTCTAAAACAACTACAAGCATTGGTCACGATTATTCATTGTCGTTTGGTGCATAATGTGAATAAAACTTAATCACATCTGTGAACATGAGTTGCTGCTGAGTTGTGTCAGGTAGATTTCCATAATAATTATGGTGAAGACAACAACGCTGCTTCTCAACAACATCGAACTAGATCTTTTGTTTTTTGGGGGATTGAGAGGCCTCCAGTGGCAAAAACACAAAGTTATCATGACCAGCTCCGATATTTAGAGTAGCTCACACATGTGGTACAGGACACACGTGCGCCTGAAGAATCATGTGGACATTGTAACTCCATGTTAAACACAACAATGTAATAATATTTTATTGCTCATGCTCGTGTTCACTTTTACAATGCAGCATATCTGGTGGAGTTGTAATAGGAAGTGGAAAGTGTGTAAATTGGAAGGGATGTGCAATGAATAGATAGTGTATGCCCATGCCAGTCTTAATGACCACACACACACACACAC